CTAGTCTATAGGGCTGTAGATTGCTATCTCCAGAATGTTATCACTTACTCTTTCGAAAGGATGAGGGGACTTTTTTCCCCAGCAACTTTGCTTTCTAACCGTGTTTTCAGGAACTACTGCACAACTGCTATTTTATCACCTTTTTCAAGATCAGGTTAGTCTGATGTATTGCCTCAGGAACATAACCTAAGGATTTTGTTAAAAGCTCCTGAAGCATCATTAACAAGCCACAATGACTAAATTCAGGCTAGAAGTGAGATTATGTTTGCAGCTTACTGTTGTCTCTTCACCTGAAAACAGTATTTCTGAGTGCGATATTAGACTCCCGTTGAATACATCAAACACATACATGGGGAAGAGAATAGAGTCAGGCAGAGCTAGGAAAAACATCCGCCTACAAACCCCTCCTTTTGCCATAAATTATGTTACCAATGCCACAGGAGCTTCTTGAGAAGCAGCAGCTTCTTTTAAGAGTTGGCTTGCTCCTCAGAACAGATACCTGGAGGTCTTGGCTCTGGAACAGCTCAACTACTGCTGCTTGAACTGCTGAAAAGGTCTGAACCGTCAGCCCCACTCACAGAAGTGAATCGGTCAGCAGAAGGGGTTGGTTACAAAGTCTTGTAGTACGGAACAGCTCCTCAGCACCAATCTCCTGACTTACACAGGGTTATCATAGAAATAGTACATTAGATCCTTCACACAGTAGGAAAAAATAGGCTTTTTTTTCCCCCATTTGAGTGTAATACTTACTTACACTCAAGAACAAAGTTCCCATTCCCTTCACATTTAATGTTTCAGTATTTCAGCTAAATTGCTAAAATGTAAATTTGCAGGCCAACTACGTCTGTCAGGAAAAGTGGCTTTAACAAAGTAATTCGAGGACTCCTAGATTAACTCTTCAAAAGCATGAAGTGTCTAGGCTTGATTATCTCAAGTGTTGTGTCTTGGGACTGTATTTAAGAGTTACCAAACACCTCAAAACAGGAGAAGGACAGTTACTTTTGAAACCTTAGATCAGTTTATATCAGCACATAAAATCACAGCCACAAAAATCACACTCTTCTTCCCGCCAAGCCCCCAACCCCATTTGCTGCGCCGAGTGGCTCTTCACAGTTTAGCAGCTTCAGTTAAGCCGTAACTGTACATTAAAACTTTGTATCCATCTTTTTCACAATGTACCCAGTGGCAGCCGCATCAAAGTACGAGGGGCTTTTGTTCTAACAACTAACCCTACAGCCTCTTACAAGGTGAGAGTATTCTCAGTATGTTACACGTAGAGAACCAAGGCAAAGCTGGGAAGTCGAGTGTGTCAAGAACTTAACTTGAGCTTTCACAGCACGATGCATGCAGCATGCGGAGCCCTCCTCTGACCAGACAGCACTGAGGGAACTCTCCCCGCCTGCAATCTTTGTTTCTGCTTGAACCTGGAGATCTCATGGGGACCCTGTGCAAGCGTGTGCATGGCCTGACCAGGAGGTATTTTTATGGCAGAGGCGAGATAAGACTCCAGTTCCAAAAGCAACACAAAACTGCCTGAGCTGTGAGAACACACCCATCCTTCCTCCGCCTCGACCACCGCATGCCCTCGTAGTGTAACTGAAAAGAACCATCTTCAATACAGCTTGCACAGTTCGAGCCTTCACCGAAATCAGTCCATTCTAACCAGTAAGGGTCACCCGGGGTGGGGGAAGATGCAATAGCAGTAAATACAGAATATACAAGGAAAACCAGAGAGGAATCCTGGTATATTCAGAACTCTAAAATTTTAACCTTTTTAACAAAATTAAGACTGAATGGCAAAATTCTGCTCATATGGAACTTTGTTAGACCATCCTTTATCAGGATCCCAACTGTGCAGACTGCTTCTATCTGTGCTTTTTTCGATCAGATGAGGTAAAGGACAACTTATAGATTATTTTCTTTGGCAGATCTGCTAGGAAGTTGTCATAAGACTAGCTATTTGTAAAACAGCAAAGAATGCTGAGAGTCGGGACTCCTGACTTCCAGTCCCATTTTTGGGGGGTAGTAGCTTGACTGGCTGCAGCGTCAGTCCCTGCTCTCAATGGTGGCGTTCAGCACATCAGCCCTGCTGGCTGGATCAGCATCTGCATGTACATGACACCTCCCTGCAAAAATCTCGTATGTTTTTCTCTCTGCAAAAATAAGGTATATTCAGTCCAGCCAGCACATACCAGCTTCTATGAGAAGGATGATGTTCTTGCCAACTTCAAGCACCTCCCTGAAACAAAAATACAAGAACACTAAAACATGTAAGAAAGAGTCTCTCCTTCCCCATCCTACCTTAGTCCTAGCAACTGAACAAACTTCAGCTCAAAGTTTCGTGGGGGGGGGGGGAAAGCCAGATACTTTGTGCCCACCTAAACGAGTTTATTTAGTGATAGTTAAGTAACAAAGTTGACTTGTAAAGGAATGTACCAGACATTAAGACAAGACACTGATGGATGTCCTTGGTAGTGATAACGGTTGTGGTGAACCTTTCCCAATTTATGGACCCTTTATGTGAAGACCAATTTAGAAATTGCAAAAGGCACTGGCGTACCGAGTTTGCCAGTTTACTTTTCTCAGTCACTTTCCCTAGACCATCAAGATACTGTCCAAGGCTGGAAATGACTGATCTGTGATGTACCACCTTCCTTCACCGGATGGCACTTAACATCTGCCAAGAGTCTCATTATCCTTGTCTACAGACTATTATGATACTAGCGTGACAACTACCAAAGAGAAATGCAGATTCTGAGGTATTCAGATACAGTAAGTGATACGCACAGGGTTTAAAAAACAAAACCACTGCCCAAAACACTTGTCATCTTGGGGCAAAAAAAGAAAGCTTAACTATCTGTCTTTACTATCTAAGAGGGGGAAAAAGCGTCTTGAAATATATATAGCCCCAGCTGAGAAAAGGATTTTTGAGAGACTGTAATCCTTTACAATCAGACCTTTTTTAGCCTTAGAAAATGATTTTGCCGTAGCTATACACTGTATGAGGTAGCCTGTTTCTCCCGATCCCCCAAGTCCTTGCCAGTGACATATTTCTTATCATCACCTGTGTACTCTGTACTACACATAAAACCCAGGTGACTGAACCCCAGAAAACTAAGCACTTCCAACAGTTTGGGGTCCTCCAAAGTTTTTGACAGAGTAAGAGTTGGACAGATTAGTCACACTGGGGAAACAGAATGAAAAATCCCCTCTCCTTGCACACAGAGCATGACAGCCACCCCCATTTCTGATCCTTTAAACAAACTTTATTAAACAAACTTAAAACAAGGACAAGCGGGTTTTTTCTTCACTCTATTTCGAGCTGTTGAAGGCATCACAGCTATGGCCAATATCACCGTTTCTCTCTGTTAGCACTCAGTCTTTTGCCCGTTTATGTCCGTCTTCAAGCTCCAGCCATTCAAGAAATACATTTTCCAAACTGGTGAAATATGACTACTAAACAATGGTAACCGCCAATTACTATTGCCCCCCAAATACTTTTCAACACTTTCCTAACTGAGCTTGAGTCAATGCTGACAAACTATTTATTCAAAACTGTTTATTATCTCATGAGCTTAAAGTCACCGCTTAGATGACATTACATAGTAATGTGAACACAGTATTAACGCTATTTCACTTAGAGCATATTTCTCTACAGAATACCTCAGCTGCATGGGCTTTAAAAATGCACTCACTACAGTTGCAGTTTGAATCCTTTTTTCTAAGGAAAACAAAACATGCAAGTACATATATTACTGTAACTTTATAGTCATGCCCCACTAAAGATGTCACTCCAGCCAAGAATGCATAGTCACGTTCGAACTTTTCCAGTTAAAAGCGGGCAGGGCCCACGTAACAGGCTAATCGGGGACTAAGGCAAAGCCAGAAAATGGAGGGCCAATCTAGATTGCAGAAGCTGCGTCAGTTCGGTTACACCAACAACTCCTGATGGAAATGAAATTCCTAACAAGAAAAATTCTACACATACAGTTAAACCATTAATCCTTAGATGACAAATGTTGTACTAGCAAAAGGATTTTTTTTAAAATTATTATTATTTTTTTCCCCTGCCTAAATTGCAGCTATTCACTAGTTGTTGATAAAGCTTTGTTCACTAGGTGTAGAAACAATTCCTAATTAACATATTGATACCAGAAAAACAGCTTAGCCTACAGAATGACAAAGATCCATTTCTTCATT